TATCTCTTGTTATGTAATAGTCATTGTTGAAACTTTTTAAATGTTAATTTCTTTTTTATACGTCATTTTTTAATTTATTTTTTAAACCTTTGTAAATGCTTCTTTTTTGTTAAATGTTAATTTATTTTGTCAGTCATTTTTTAAAATGTTAATCGTTGTGAAATGTTTGTAACGTTCTTTGCATGTTTTCTTTTAGCCTTGAGAATGATGCGGAATGCGTCGAAACGTTGGCTGTTGATTTAGATATTTCATTAAATAAAGTCCAAATAAGCCGAAAACCGACTTTTCATTAACATATTCCTGGACGAAAACCACACTGTATAGACCAATTGCTCTACTTCCGGTGATATCAAAAGTAATGGAAAGAGTTGTGAACAATCACCTAACCAAGTACTTGGAAAAGTACAAAATTATCAACGATAAGCAATACGGATTTCGAAAATATAGGTCAACTGGCGATTTACTTACATACGTCACTCACTTATGGCAAAAAGCGATTGAGTTGCGGGGTGAAACAAGAACAATTGCCTTAGATATATCTAAAGCATTCGACAAAGTTTGGCATGAAAATCTGCTCAACAAGCTCAAAGCAATGGGATTATCGCCGAAACTTTGCACTTGGTTTGAAAGTTACCTAAAGGACAGATCCATTTATGTTGCACTGGATGGCCAGAACTCCAACTCTTACCAAATAAATGCTGGTGTGCCACAGGGAGCAATCCTTTCGCCAACTCTTTTTCTGATTTACATAAATGACCTCATAGATAAAACAGTGAATCCACTTCATTGCTTTGCAGACGATGGCAATGTAGTCTCCTCACTCATACCACCCACAGGTCTTTCCGCACGTGAATTCCATCATCTTAGACTAACTCAAATATCGCAGATAAATAACGACCTGGAGATAATAGAGGACTGGGGTAACAAAAACCTTGTACAGTTCAACGCGCAGAAAACCCAAGCAGCTCTGTTTTCAAAAAAGACCAGCAACGGTGAGCCAAGCATCATGCTATCTGGAAGTGCTGTCACATTACAGAGTTAGTTGAACATCTTGGGGGTTACTGCAGAGACCAACATGTCTTGGCACAGCCACGTGGCAGATATTGCTAAAAGGGCGTCCCAAAAGCTGGGGGTGCTATTTCGTACAAGACATCTGTACACACCAAGCCAATTGCTGACACTCTACAAAGCCCAGATTCGACCAACTATGGAGTACTGCTCACATATATGGAGTGCAGCACCCAAACATACCATAATGCTTTTGAACACCGTGCAAAAACGAGCTATCAAGCTGATCAATGACCCCGCACTTACTCGTAACTTGGATGGTCTCGAACATCGCAGATCTGTGGGCGATTTATCTCTCTTCTACAGGTACTATCACGGAAAATGCTCTGAAGAGTTGGCACGTATGATTCCACCGAGAGTAGCGCCTACCAGGCGAACCCGTCAAACAGACGGTAACCATGAATTTATTATCAAACTAGAGGCACCAAGAACCTCATTATATCAGAATTCATATCTCTGGAGAACAGCATCGCTGTGGAATAAACTCCCTGCGACGGTTTTTCCTGCAGGTTACAACCTGAACCGTTTCAAGACCAACATACACCGACATTTCCGCGCACTCGCCGCTTCTCGAGTGGACATTTCCTTGCGAGTGCGCATATCCGTAAAAAAAAAAAACCCATTTATGTATCTAAAAACACTATCGATAGATGAAGGTATTCCAATAAAGTCCTTCGAAATGTAACCAAACTTTTCCACGCCAAAATTACATTCATTTATTTTTATGTAGTAATTATCCTCGAAAAAGTAAATAGTTTTTCCAGTATACGAATTTACGGCACCTATTATTTTCCTATTGTTGAATTGAGCAGCAATTATTTCGGAAACCTTTAATCGATTAATTAACTGAAAGTTTTTATCATTGATTGTGAATATTTCAGATTCAATAATAATTATGATTTCTTCGGAAGGTCTTTGATAAACTGCAGTAATTTTTTCAAATTTAGGTAAAAACGGTAATACGGAATGAATAGATAAGTCCTTTGAAGTGAAATTTTTTGTTTCCAAATCCATTATCCATACTCGATCTTTGTTAATGATATATAGCTTTTGATGCAATATCAAAAATTGTAAGTCCTTAGGATCTACCTTACAAATATCCTGAGAATTTTCAGGTTGTACTTTATCAGGTTTGTGTGCAGATGGAGTGGGCGTAGTACTTTTAGGGAAAATATGTGTACTCATCTTGAGAGAAGTGGTCGCACTCGTTTTAGGGGAAGTAGTAGTACTAATAGTAGTTGGACTATTTGATAATTTTCTCCCATAAAGATGTTGAATTGCTGTTACATCATCATTACTCAAAGCGGAAATTTCACCATAATATGCATACATTAAGGAATTTGCTTCATCTGAATGACTTAATCCTAATGTATGCCCAATTTCATGAGCTAATACCCACAGCAAACTCTTTTTACCATCAGCAGGTATTTTTTCATCCACTCCAAAGTACCAATCTTCACTTCTATCTAAATGAATCTCAATACAATCATTATCGTTGCCAGTAGGATGATAAGCATGAGCCAATACCAGTCCTTTCCCATCAAAATCGTAATTACATGGTAAAGGTTTTTTACATCTGCCGTTGTAGGAATGCTGTAATTTTCCAAATGATATCATTATGTCCGGCTTTGAAGACCAACAACTGCTAAATTTCAAATTGGTTACATCAGACCAAAGTTTGAAGGCCTTGTCCACTATCGCATAAATTTCCTTTGAAGCATATTGAAAGGGAACATAATTAATCTGCCAAATTAAAGTTCTTTTCATCCATCTACCACCATTTAATGTAAATGATTCAGGATAATCTTGCACACCGCAGCGAGGTTTAGACATCAACTTTAATGTTTCATCATTGGCCAGACCATCAATATCTTTCAGATGGTAAAATTCTTGGAAAGCGCTTATAGCTTCCGATATATCAGTTACTGCACTAACATCTGTACCGTTATTGGTTACTGTCTCATTTTTCAGATAGCCATAAGTAATTAGAAAATCTCGAGGATCAACACTCAGATTGATTCTGTACAACTGACAAAATAATAAAAATGTGAGACACTTCATGCTTGTACTACAGTTCAATGCATACTAACATTTATTTTATTTTCAATATAGTTTTAGTAGGTACATCAGGACTCTTATCATTTTAATGAAAACAGAAACGAAAAGCATATAATTTTTTATTTTTCAAATAGTAAATTTACACATGTTTTACAATTAATTTTAAATGAATATTCCGGTCCATCAATTACATCATAGCCACCAATAGTGTTTTCATCTAGGATGTGTCCCCAGCACGGTTCAAGTAGTTTGATTAATTTTTCTTCTGGTATTTTCAACTTTGTGTTGAGAGTCTTGATGAAATACGTATTGAATTTTGTTGGCGACTTAATGTTATTGATTAAATAATGTAGTTCATCAATATATTCAGGCTTTATCTGACGTGCACCCATTTTGTATAGGAAAAATTTACTATTGACTCAAGCAGCAGTACTGATGCTACGAATGATATGTAGTAGACTAATCCAACGACCGACGGTGAAATCTAGCGCTGGAGATGTTGTTGTTGTTGTTGAGTTGATGTTATCAAAGTGTTTCGAAGGTGTGAGCATAGTAAAGTTCTTCCACTCACTATCTCCATGTATACGATTAGGATAAAGAATTCTTATCTTGTACTGTTACGTTTTCGAACATTGGAAAATATTGGAATATTTTCAACATAGCCCGTTTTCATTTCAGTCCAATTTTGTGGCCAAGTTTCATCTGTTTTATTAAGACAAATAAAAACACTTTGTGCTTTTCTAGGTTGATGAATATAAAATACGTCATTTACTAGTGCAGTCAAAAGCACGAAACTTGATGTTAACGCGACCATGACTGATTTGATACTAATAAATAAAAATACCGTTTTTTCATACTTAAATTTATTTCAATTCTTAAAATTACATAGGTATACAATCAGAAATCCAATTATGAATAACAAAACAATTTCTTAAACTACACATATAATGCTTATCAGTTAAATGACTCATACATTTTGGAATATTTTGACTAAACTTTGTCATCGAAGAAGTCCAGGTGGCATCTAGAGCTTCCAGGTTAATTATTTTCGGGTATCTTTGACCATCATCAAATTTACTAATTTTTTCATCAAGAAAGTTCTTTTTCTGGTGACCTCGAACATAAACTATATCAGCATCACACATTTGTTCCTTGATTATATCATCGATCTTTTTATAGGTGACGTAACCTTTTGCAAATAGAAGGCCATGCACTTGATGCGTTGCATAGTTCACATGCTTTTTATCGTAGGTCGAGAGGGAATAGTACTTCATTGGCATTTCAAACAAATAATGATTAGCTTGATGTCCATTTGTAATAGCCATTTCTTTAGCAAAAAATTTGCTACTATTATTTGAGGTTATGTTAAAACCTTGGATGTCGACCGAAAGAACCTTCATGATGGACTGCTAGACAAAGACTAATTAATTTTTCTAACAATCTCACTAAGTGGCAGGTGTTCCATTATGCAATCATGAATGATGACGCAATAGGCTTTCGTTTTATCGGGAAAACCAGTTCTTGTTTCAATTTCAATTTTAACATCGATCGCTGAGGATTTTAGACTTTCATCACGTCGAGAGCAATCAATCACAAAAAGAGAATTTTCCATAAATTTCTCGTAATCTAGTAAAGATCTTTTAGAACTACCACCAACGATCAATGATGTATTCGTGAAGCTTGGATAGAATTCTGTATAGGAGCAATGTGCATCAATGAAATCTTTTTTACCAAAATCAAGATTTTGGCGCTCGTACGGATAATATTCTCCATTCAAAAATAATCTAACATTTGATATATTGAGGTTATCAAATTTTGTTGTGTCTTTTTTGAAATCATCTTTTCGATCCTGTTGAAAAGCCACTATAACATACGGAGGACAATCGACACTAGTTGTAGTTTTCACACTCCACATTTCTTTTGTTGAACCCACATTAAGAGCAGGCAATTCATGTAATTCCCACTTTCTAAAGGGAATTAGAATGGGTCGATCGGTCTTGACCGATTGTAAAAGTTGTATTTTTAGACAATCATTCGGAATAATGTGTTTCACTTTCAAATCAATTTTTTCTATAACAAGTTCTGCTTTAGTATCAGCTCCGGTAATTAGCATACAATTGGCATCATTGCGAGCTCTCACCAAACGTATAGTATGCTTTCCAGATATAGCCATTTTGTAGTCGGTAAAAATCCCCAATAAATGATAGAGAGGAATTCTCATGAAGAATGCACCATCTGTATAAGTTGCTGGAACGTCGGGATAATTCCAGCCGGCAACATTTAAATGATTACTATCTTCTTCAGTATAGCACAAATAGCCTCGAATTAGACTCGTAATACCAGGATCTTTTACATGTTCCATTTCAATCCCGTTCAACAAATATGTGATTGAATCAAAGAAAAATGCACCGGCATTGTTGACGAATTTAACGTTGCCAGCTCCAGCAGTTTTCTTTAACTTTCCTCTTATCGATAAAGCTGCATCATGTATTAGCACCCACGCATCGTTTCTATTAATTGAAATTTCAATAATATCATTATTCTCAAATGATTTGATGTAAGGCAAAGAAGTATGAGAATCGATGCGACTTATTGAATCATCGCTTAGCGGCGTTTTGTAAAGATCTAACACTCGGTTTGACAACATAGCCGATTGATTGGAGAAAATAACGGTTTATTGAATTTAACTTTCCGCCCAACTTTCTAGTTGAACGACGTTTTGCAACTGATGATGCAGTAGAAGGAATGTCTCTTTTATATTCCCCAATCACTAGGACCATTTTTTCGAAGCTCCAATCTAATGATAATTTCTTCGCCTCGAAAATTAACCAAATTGAAATCTTGGTCCAATACTGTTAAAGTAATAATTATTATTTATTTCGTTACACACCACTGGAAGATAGATCAAATTTTTGGGTATTTCGTCGATGGCAAATCCTGGATCAACGCTAATCGGAAATTCGTACAATGTATGCGTCGGTTTATTGTTATAGTAAGCTCCCACAGTTATGTTACTATCAATGTGAATAGTTCTCACTTTCACAATATTAACAGGCAAATCGGATTCGTGCACTTCTCCAGCGGCGTAAGAATGTTTTGAAAATCCCAACAGTTTTGCAAGAGGGCTTTCGGTTTCAAATTGGATGTCAAAGTCTCGATGAAAAATTTCACACTTTAACGCATTATTGTTGGGCTTCAAATAAAAAATCTCCTCTTCTTCCACTTCGCTTTTCAATATCTGGTTTGACTTCTGCGCTAGTTTTTTCCTGAGATAGTTGTGGATATCTGATATTTCGTACGAGCCTGCTGGTATACGTATATAACTCCTTTTATTGTTTTTAGTATCAAAATAATAAAAATCTGTATTCTTGTCAATATTTGGAATCGTGTTGTACGAATGAAACCCAATTAAAGCTAATCCGTACTGATAATTTGGGTTCAATTGAATGGGATTAGGAAAATCTATAGAGAGCGTAGGTGTACGACTCTTCAATGTGAATATCACTGACATGACTAACTGAATGTACAAAGTGCTATTTACTTTTATACAGAAATCCGATACACAAGTGGCCACAATTACTCGTATTGAATTTCTGATATTGATCTCTATTATAGAAAATTCTAACTTTATTCGTCGTTGATCCAGCAGCATTAAAATAGCAAACTAATTCTTTCGGCGGTTTCAAATTACCAAAACTATCGAAATATTCAACACAATTTCCACGTTTTTTATAAGCTACCCAATGAGTACCAGCGTTTTTATTCGAGTCCAAGTTCAGTACGGCACTTTCATTAAATTTCGGTTTTTCGGGAAGAGTATCACGCATAAAAACTCCTTTAAAATATGATACTTTCAATTTATTTACAAAATGTTTTATCTCATGATCATACAGGGATCTATTAGGTAGCTTTATTGGCAGTTTTTTGACTGTTGTTTTTTCAAGTATAAGCCAAATCCTTGTGGAGTTTTTCTCAAATAAAGGCCGGCACCTTTTTTCCCAATCTCCTCCATAGCTTTGGATTGACCATTTTCTTGTAACTTTTGCCGTGCATTCCGGGCATCTATAACAGTTTTCGCTATAGCAGATGCGCCTCCAGCGAGACTGCCCAATGCTGACAGACCAGCAAACAGAGGTATAAGTGGAATTATTCCACCTGTTTTAGATTCAAAGGGAATTATACGAGGTACCCGTACTTTTTTACGTCCACCAGATTTTTTCAGAGCAGCTCGAGCGACACGCAAAGCTGCTAAGGAAGCTTTTCTTAGAGATTTATTGTTCCCCGGGTCGATTTTGAAAGATTTTTTCAAATGATTTTTGATAGGTTTCAGTATATGTTTCCTAAATGATCCGGCAGCACAACCCATTCCCAATTTGCGTTTCACTTTCATCGTATTTGTAATGAGCCAAGCTGCAGACTTTTCACCCAAACTGGAATCGTTTGCTTTTACTCGTTCCCAAGCACGGTTCTCCAACTCAAAATCTGCTTTATGTCTATCGGATAATGATGAATTTTCCGAATACTTTATATCGTGCTGCTTACAGGCAGCGTCCAATGGATTAATTCCTTTATCACCACGCGCTAAACGTTGCTTCAGCTTAGTCCCTGGACCACAAAACTGATAGGTAGGAACGTGTATTTCAACAGGTAACTTATTAATTATTGAATTCACTAGACCACTACCTGTATGCTGTTCAAAGGTTAGCATATTAATGAGTAACTATCATCTTTTATACCTTTATATAGGATTGGCGGCCTCCCCATCCATTTTCTATAAATAGTTAGTTTTCGATACTTTTTCGTCTCATTTCCAAAATGCAGTTTATACCGCAGAATCTAAAATTGTCCGTAGAAAATTTGGATTTTATCGAAACCTCTAAAAATGCTAGTAGACATAGTAAATTGCTACCAAACTGTTTTCGCGCCATATTTTGTGGACCCAGCGGTTGTGGAGAAACCAATGCCCTTCTAACACTGATTTTCAATCGGAACGGATTACGTTTTGAAAATATCTACGTGTATTCGAAATCACTGTACCAGCCAAAGTATAAATTACTGGAAGATGTTTTAAACAGCGTAAAAGGTGTTGGCTATTTTCCATTTAGAGATAATGATATGATAATTGATCCTGAGGAAGCCGAAAATAATTTAATTTTTATATTTGACGATGTGTCATGTGATAAGCAGGATAAAATTCGCAAGTATTTTTCCATGGGCCGTCATAAAAACATCGATGTTACATATCTTTGCCAGACGTATTCTAAAATACCGAAACAGCTGATACGAGCTAACTGCAACATATTAGTATTATTCCAACAGGATGATGTAAACTTGAAACCAGAGCTGGGCAGGGCTTGAGTGCTTTGTGCTTGCGAAAGTGCTTGAAGCACTTTGAGGGCTTGAAAGCCCTGTGCTTCAAGCCCTTTTATAGATTCGTAATTGGGGCTTGCAAAGTCAATTACTTTAGAAAAGTGCTTGGTAATTTGTAATTGAAAAAAGTAATTCAAGCCCTTTCAATGAGCTTCAATTACTTTTAGAGGGCTTGAAGCACTTTTGGGAGCTTGAAGCCCTTTGAAAGGGCTTGAAGCCCTTTAAGAGGGCTTGAAGCACTTTTGGGAGCTTGAAGCACTTTGAAAGGGCTTGAAGCACTTTAAAAGGGCTTGAAGCACTTTAAAAGGGCTTGAAGCACTTTAAAAGGGCTTGAAGCACTTTAATAGGGCTTGAAGCACTTTGAAAGGAATTTGAATTGACCATCATTCAACCTCCCACTTAAAAATTTTCGATCGTGTTTTGTCCCTTAATTTTTTTTTCTTTTATTTGAACTTGAACCGTCTTATGTCTTTTCTCTCTTAACAATGGAGGTTTTGGGTTCAAGCTTAGAATGGAATTTAAAAAAAAATGAATGAACTTATTATTAAAATAAATAATTAATTTATATTGGTACCCTATTTAACTTTATCACTGGATTTTTTCCACTTTTCCCCATTGAACATTTTGAAAACCTTAAAATTGAAGTACCATGTAGTACCCCAAGTACCTACCCCAGAACTACATCTCAAAAAAAAACATACTACTGCTACTCTGTGAAATGTAAAGTTCGTCTCTACTATACCAATTCTGTGTGATGAGTTTACGCGGTAGCTTATGCCACTTTGAGAATTTTATTACAAATTCAAAGTGCTTTAGGCACATTTAAAGAGCTTCAAGTACATTTAAAGAGCTTGAAGCACATTTAAAGAGCTTGAAGCCCTTTTCAAGGCACCTCAAGCACTTTTGATGTGCTTCAAGCACTTTTCAAATCACTTTGAGGGCTTTGTGCTTGTCAAGCCCAAAGCACTTTGAGGGCTTGGTGCTTGTGAAGCACTTTTAAAAATAAAAAGGAATGTGTGCTTGAAATTGAAGCACTTTGATAGAGGGCTTAGGGCTTAGTGCTTCAAGCCCTTTTACTGAGGGCTTTGCCCAGCTCTGCTTGAAACATATCTTTGATGAACACGTATCGCCTGATATGACCTATGATAATTTCAAAGATGTGTGTTTTAAATGCTGGAATGATGAAAAATTTAGTAGTTTGGTGATTGTAAAAGATTTTGACTTGAATAATGGCCGGTATCGTAAGGGCTGTGATGAGTATATAAAACTACATAATTAGTACTATAGTCTAGTTACAATGAAACCTTTAAACAATGAGGAGGTTGTACGTAAACAAAAAAATTTACAATTAGCCAACGATGTACGGAAAAAATATCAAGCCTTAAAATTAGGACGATCTGAGGAAGATGAACTTTAAATAAAATTTTCACACCTATCACAGCACCTCTTAAACAATTAGTAGAAAAGCAAAGACAGCAAAAACAGCTAAAACTGAAACCGAAACAAGAGTTGCAAAAAGTGGAACAAAAAGTATAACCACAAGTCAAAACGTGAAGTGGATTTTCTACCTACCTATGATGTTACCTGTAAAGATGAACGAGATTTTGAAAACATCGACGATGAGACGAATTATGATTCATCACTTATTGACAATAGCATGCTCGATGATAAATATTTAAGTCAATATCCAGAAAATGTTTCTGAATATGTTTTGAATTATCTTAATGAATCCCCCAAAATTGATGTGAGCCAAGGTCCGAAATATAATCCTATAACTCCTAGATGGATGTTAGGGAGTAAGATAATGGATTTCGATCAAAAAACGGGAAAACTTTATATTGATAAAGAAGAATTTAATGCGACTCCAGGGCTTTATAACCTAATTTTTTATAAAGAACCAGGGCAATATACAAACTATGATCTTGATGAATATAAAAAAATACTAGATAAAACAAATGTATACAGAGTTGGCAACTCGAGCGTTGGAAGACTGAAAGGAAATGGAGGCTTTAAATATACGCACTTAGTTAAGCCATTATTGGGTCCTGAACCAAAATTTAGATCATTTTCAGCATCATCATCATCGCCCGCCTATAAAGGAAGTGGTTTTGATAAAATGTTGTATAGTGAAAAGCCCACAGAATATGTCTATTGGGATGATGTTAATTAACTGGTGGATAGATTGAGACTTTTATATGCATCTAAACAAGCTGGCAATACATCACATAATAATGAAATTTTATCAATTATTGAGGAACTTCGGGAAGCAAAAGTTAT